GGGGGGGTCTCAATTTTAGTAAGACTAACACGTTATAATCTTTATGACGAGGCAACAAAAAGAATGAATGTTTTACTTTTTACAATGCATTAGATTTTATTAAAGTGATATAATATAAATACATAGAACGAGTACAATGTAACACTTTACAATAAGTAACATTAGTTAACTACTTTAGTTAACATGAACTAAGCATGAACAATACTTCTACAGCATATATTAATCTTAGCTAATGTTAATTTTAACATTTACTAATGCATTATTAAAATCAAAAGTTGTGCTTGTTAACATTAGTTAATGCACTGTGAATTAACATGAACTAACAGTGAACAACTGTATTTTCATTAACTAACATTAACAAAGATTAATAAATACTGTAATAAATGTATTGTTCATTGTTTGTTAATGTTAGTTAATACATTACCTAACATTAACTAATGGAACCTTATTGTAAAGTGTTACCAATTTAGAGAAAATAGTAAAGAATTTTAATGTTGGCCATAATGTGAAAATAATTTTCAGTTAGAATTATGCAGTAATTTAATTACTGCAATATCAGTGCATCTCTACAGTGCACTTTATTTCCTTGCAAAGCAATAATATCTGTTAATTTAGAAGTCTGAAACCAGTATAAACCAGTATTTTTAAACCAGTATATTACTGGGTGCGTTGTATCTAGGGCTGTCAATTGAGTACAAATTATTTGAATTTATTACATTAATAACACATACAGTACATGATATTCTCATTAATTAATTGTATATATATATTAATATTTGCTGAGAAAAGCCACCAGACAAATAAATCATGAAATAGACTGTGCAAAAAATACTTTCCAAGTCAAATTACTGTTTGTTTTGTTTTGTTTCCATATCATTTGTCATTTTTCATGCTTTTTTTGTATTTCTTCTGTGCCATTTTGTTCGATATATACAATGCAAAGGTATGACTCAGAAGACATGGTTAAATTCATCATGTTTATGTCATTAATTATACTGAATTACAACCCTAATTAGATCATAATTTCCTCACACTTTGAAGATAACAATTCAGCTAAGTTATTTCATACAAACAATATATCTTTGGAGTCCCCTATGGTTAAACTGTACTTTCAGTCCTACAATCATCACTTTTCTAGCCAACTCTTCTCGAGTTAACCTCTGGAGCCATGGGTGAGTAAAGAGCTCCATCTGAGTCCATTTGACTTCATTTAACTTGCAAGTAAAAATTTGAACACCTTTCAACAGTAGCATAGCACTTGCTCTTTACCGTGACCTGTGCTTCATTCATTATTTCTTAGCCGCGTTCCTGGCTAATGCAATGTTAATGCCTGGTATGGGTAGATTAGGCCCTGAGACACTGGGGCTCATTACTACATGAAGGAGAGAAAGAACACCCCATTTATCTGAGTGGAGCTCACAGACACAAGGATGGATAAACTCAAATGGGTTTAGTCCTCAGATTTGGCTACCCTTGTTCTGGAAACCAAAGTGTTTCTGTTTAGATGCCATATACACAACGTATCTTTAGGCATATTTGTAACTAAATGTCGATCTGTCTTTCTCTTTTTCAGCTGCCACCCCCTGACAGGTGAATGCTTGTGTACAGCAGGATGGACGGGTCTATACTGCAATGAGACCTGTCCCCCGGGTTACTATGGAGAAGGATGTAGTGTGCAGTGCCAGTGTACTAATGGAGCAGACTGCCACAGTCTCACTGGGGCCTGTATCTGTGCCCCAGGCTACACAGTGAGTCCATTTATCATTGTCTACAGTCATTAAATACTAGTAAATCCTGCCATGCTGAAATATTGTCTCATGAAATTGACTGCTGAGCATTGATGATTATAGCTGCTAATGTTTGGAACTAAAGGATGGTCTTTTTTCATATGCCCTGACATATAGGCCTCCTATACACCTGGCATTAACATCATTCAAACCTCTTATTTGTTGCGTAAACACAGATACAGGAATCAACTTTAATAGACACCTCACGTGAAACAGTAGAGAAACAACCAAACATAAAATGTAAGCTTAGACGGACAAGGACTAGAAGGAACTAAGGATATTTAAACACTGGGATTAATGAGATAATTAACAAGATAACAGTTGAGCAGAATTAACAAATCAGAACACAGGAAAACTGGGTCACAGGGAAAACACAATGGAACACAAAAAGACCATACATGTTTCAGCAGTAAGTAAGAAGTGTAGTAAGTTTATACTCACAAAGTCAGTAAACCTCCCATCAAAATCCGATGACAGGTGGTCACAGGAGACACATTTGTGACACGGGTGCAAACAGCAGTGTGTCTTGGCTCACCATTTGTGATCGGATGACCTAAGATAGAAGATACCTAGTCTAAACAGGGCCATTGATGTGACATATGAAGGTGGCAAAACTCATAATTACATAATAAAAGTTTTTGATTGTGGATTTTAAGTGAAAACTGGAAGCATCTTTCAAAGAACATTTCTAGTCAGCACTTCCCTTGATCTTTCTTTGAAAGTTTTTGTGTCCTCATACTTAAAGCAGAAGTGTCAGCGAATACAGTTTATTGCTTTGAAAATGATCTGTGCTCTCTCTCTCACACACACACAAACACACACACACACACACACATAAACACATCACCTTCTGCAGGGAGGCTGGGAACAAGGTGAGAGCTTCTTCAGTGAGTTCAGTAATGCTACTTTCACAATGCTTGTGTCTTATTACACAGCAGGTTTAAACTTAACACAAAGACCTTGCCAAACACAGAAAGAAGCGTTAGATACAAAGACTCCAAAATAGATTGTGATTTCTAGGCAAGACTCTATATGACATAAATAACAAATTGACATGAAAAATTACATAAATAACGTTTTGTTATCCAGTTGGTTGCACATGGCACACAATCTACCCGGCTTCGTGTTCTGTTATGAACAAAGGGGATGCTAAAATGAAAGCGATAAGATGCAAGGAAAGAGCATGAGAAAGACAGATAGAGAGATGATCATATCAGTAATCGGAATTTATTTTAGAGAGATGTTAAAATAGATGGATGACTCGTACTTTTGCTTCACTGAATGCGTCATAGTATTGCTTACAGTCCTGTTTATCTTGTTCGTCCTCAGAAACAAATATACTGTCCTTTAGAGCTAGTAGACTTAGGGTTGGGGAACTAAGAGAAACCAAAATAATTGTTTGGGAGTAACTAAAATTAAAAGTAGCACTAGCAACTTTACTCAATTAAAGGGATAGTTCACCCAGAAATTACAGTTTTGTCACCATTTACTAACTTTCATGTTGTTCTCTAAAGTGAAAGTACCATTTTTCTATTTGTCACTTTAAGTCACGTTTTTGACTTATATTGACTATATTATATATGTTTTAATGCTGTCACTCTAAATTAGATATTTATTGTTTTCTGCCAGATAATTACTGCTGACTGTATATAATGTTTTCTGATAGTTTTATTTTTATAAAGATATTGCATCTTTAAAAAGTTTGGGATCAGTGAGATTATTTATTTATTTTTATTGTTTTTTATATACTTTTATTAATCAACAACGCATTAAATTGACCAGAAGAGAAGAAGAGATATTTATGATGTTACAAAAACTTTTCTATTTGAAATAAATGCTGTTCTTTTAAACTTTCTATTCATAAAAGAATTCAGAAGAAATGTTTTTGACAAATAATTAAGCAGCCCAATTTTTCAACATTGATAATGAGAAATGTGGAAAATTCAGCATTGTCATTACTGTAATAAATTTTAAATATACTGTATTAAAAATATTTTTTTTTTTTTATTTTTACAGTTTTTTTATCAAATTAATGCACCTTTGGTGAGCATAAACTATTTTTTTCAGAAAAATAGAGGAATACTACAGACTACAAACTTTTAAATGGTAGTGTAGCTTAAATGTAGCTAGCAACTTTCTGCTAACTTGTAAGTAAGCGTACATTTTCAGTAGCGTCACTTAAAGTTATGAGTAAGTTGTAGCATGGAAAGTTGTGGTTTCAGTTATCTTCCCCAGCACTAAACTGATTTCACTCCTGCTTTCAGAAACAGCAGAAATATTGCAAAGCAGATAAAATAAGATAGTGCCACACGTAAGGACTACAACGGCAGTGATGATTAAGACAAACTCAGTACCAGAAGCTATAGCCAACTCCTGTCTTGGCTGTAACTTTTGCTGTGTCCTGTGGCAGAGCTACTACAATGATTTGAACTAGCAGGCAGAGGCACAGACTGTATCTTAATTTTCACCACCTGCTCTTTGTGTTGGATTTGAGGGGCCTGCTGCCAGTTCTATTAAACACTGCTCGAGGAGCTTTGGCCAAGGAGTCTGACCGAGATGCAATGGAATTGGGGCACGACGCTCCATTTCCAGGCCAGCTCTTTCATTTGGACCTATAGAACAACAAAGGTTAACAATTTGACCGCAGTCTGGTCGAAAATAAGAGGGGTAATGGCCACCCAAACTTTCATCTGTAGAGTTCTGAGAGAATGATATTTATAGGGGTGGGAAAGGAACATATACAGTATGCTTGTGCTGCTGGTACTGGAGAGAGCACAGGTGGGTAGATGAGGGACCAAATGTGCTGGTAGTACCACGTTGAAAGCACACATGCCACATTCATGTGTGCTTTCATGACAATTCACTAAAATGCACATATACACTAGTAAGAATTTCAATGCTTTAAAATAACGTTCATTACCAAAACACTTGTAGATACTGTATGAATGACCACTAATTTAGCATTTTTCTAAATTATAAAAATATAATATTATAATGGTAACACTTTACAATAGGGTTCCATTAGTTAATGTTAGTTAATGTATTAACTAAATGAACCATGAACAGTACATTTATTACGGTATTTATTAATTTTTTTGTTAATGAAAATACAGTCATCCATTGTTACTTCATGTTAATTCACAGTGCATTAACTAATGTTAACAAGCACAACTTTTGATTTTAATAATGCATTAATACATTTTGAAATTACCATTAACTAAGATTAATAAATGCTGTAGAAGTATTGTTCATTCTTAGTTCATGTTAACTAAAGTAGTTAACTAATGTTAACTAATGAACCTTATTGTAATGTGTTACCATTGTTATATGATATTATATTATATTATCAACATAACTATTTCAATGCAGATTTCAACTGAAAAATTAACATGATTTTAAGAATGTTCATGTTGTTTCCAGCATGATCTAAGAATTATCCAAAGAGCATCATGTGCTTCAGTGGACACAAAAACATCTGACCTTTTGTACAAAGAAGCTCACATGATTAGTGTATTAAATTTGCATATTAATATTAATTAGATAATTTTTTTTTTTTTTCAATTTATTATACTGAATCCCAGAATTTCAAGGTTTTTTTTTTTTTTCGGTTTTTTTTTGGACCTCACTGAATATGAAAATATGCCATTTGATGTTTGAAACATTTCTAGCTTGTTGAATGCACTAATGATTTGTGTTAATTTTATAATAAAGTAAATATTTAAGAATATTTAACCTCTAAACATAAGTCTTACTTTAGCCTGCTTTTAGAAGAGTTTAGTCACCCAGTTGAATGAGTGCTCTCAGGCCTGTGTCAGTGTAATCTAGAGCATTCACGGGTCTCACTAAATCCCTGTGGTCATTTGTGAGCCAGAGACTCTTTTACCTCCTCCAACCCATTCACCAGTAAATTGCAGGTCTGCTGAAAAGTCGAACAAACTAACTTTCTCGCCCCATATTCGGCTGCCTGCACCGATAGATTTAAGTCTTTTTCTGTAGAATAGAACTGCCAATGTTAGCAGTCTGCTTGCTGTCACTTTTGAGCGGAACAAAGATAACTGCACGTAGATTGATGAAAAATTAATCCACAGATGTAAGCTTTTCATGTGGGGAGTGGATGGACGAGCGAAGCAGATGGAGAGGTAGAATATTTGAAATGGGGAATACAATGGGGGAATGTGGGAGAGAGAGAATGAAAAAGAAAGAGCATACAAGAAAGAAAAGAGTGGGAGTAAGAAAATTTTGGAGATGATTGTATCAAAATGAGTGAGCGAGATAAATGATGGCAGATTGAAAAAAGGAAATAGAGGGGAGAAACAAAAAAATATATATAGAGAGAGAGCGAGAGTCAATCCCTCTCAGTGCCCATGGTGTCCTGTGGCATATCTTATCCTGCCTTCCACTCAGACCTAGTTCCAGATGATAATTAGAGAGCGGGTCCTTTGCTGCTCAGTCCCGGCACTGGGGAGACGGAGGCAGGAGGCGCACAGCACACTGCCATTACCCCACTAATTGGGAGTCTAAATCATTTTGTCAGCTGTCAGTCAGAGCCAGGGATGTGGCAAAAAGACGCCGATGATGGCCGACTCTGGGATACAGGTGACTCCCCTGCTGAGCCTGGTAAAGCACAGAGATTGTGCTGGTGTTGTTTGGCTGGGGAACAGGGTTTAAGAACACAGTGTCTGTCAGTCATCAGCAATGGTTTTCTGGGGGATGGACGGAAGTGCCGAGGGCCAGGGGCTGTCAGCTCATTAATGCAGCTGGGATAAGCAGGCCTTTAGCTCTGAGCATCCGCTGCCACACTTGGTGCGATTGCAACATGGACACAACTACACACGGACTTCAGGTTTGTTGCTCTGCAAATGTGCTCTCCACCTCTCTACTTGCTTGAAACTGTATCTAACTCATATGCTGCCCTGGAAATTTCCTGTTGAAGTTTCACAGACTCCTCAGATGGGATTTAGAGTCACACTTCACAGCACAGTGCTCATGTTACAGTGTAAAATTACATAAGTAAGTAGAGAAAAATTCTGATAACTAAAATCTTATATTTTCTGAAAGAAATGTGTGCCTGCCTGAGCAAATCCCTGCCCCTACAATGCTAGGGTGTTGTTAGTGGTTGCCATGGATGGTGTTGCTATGTTATTGCTAAAATGGTCTGGGTTGTTTTGCACATTGTTGTAGGTTGTTGGGTGATTGCCAGGGTGTTGCTATGCAGTTGCTAACAATATGGTTGCTAAGGTTTTTTGGGTAGTTGTAGCATATTGCTGTTCTGTTGCTAGGTTATGCTGGATGCGGTTACCAGGGTGTTGCTATGTGGCTACTGGATAATAAGGTGTACTGGGTGGTTTAACAAATTGCTCTGCAGTTGCTACATTGTTGTAGGTGGTTGCCAGGAGAGAAAAATTCTAATAAGTAAAATCTTATATTTTCTGGAAGAAATATGTGCCTGCCTGAGTAAAACTTTCTCCTACGATGTTAGGGTATTGTTAGTGGTTGCCAGGGCGTTGCTATGTATTTGCTAAACAGTTCTGGTTGGTTTTGCACATTGTTGTAGGGTGTAGCGTGTTTTAGGTGGTTGCCATGGTGTTAGGGGTGGTTTTAGCACATTGCTGTTCTATTGCTAGGCTATTGTGGGTGGTTGTCAGAGTGTTGCTATGTAGTTGTTCAAATGTTCTGGGTGGTTTAGCACATTGTTATATGGTTGCTGGATTGTTGTGGCTGCCAAGGTGTTGTTATGTGGCTGCCAAGGTGTTCTGTGTGGTTTTATTACATTCCCAGATAGCAAAATGACTCCGGAGCGGATCCGCCCCGGAGTCACCACAAGTTCCAGAACAGATCCGCAAAACGGGTCCGTATCGGAGTCCACTTGCACAGCGCAACGGATCCGGAACAGATAAGGATTACGGATCCGGACCGGATCCGGTCCAGACCCTACCCGGATCCGCTAATAAAGCGGTTCATCCGGCCCGGATCCGATCCGGACCCGTTGATAAAGAAACGGATCCGAACCGGATCCGATCAGGACCCGCTGATTAAGTAACTCATCCGGACCGGATCCGATCTGGACCCGTTCATTTAGTGGGTCTATACCTTATTTAAAATGGGTAATCTGGCCAAAACTAGCTATGGAAATACCTAAAATAGAGCCAACAAACATTATATAGACTAGACTGCTCTATAAAAGTATAATATGTCTCCCTTTATTAATATTAATAAACCATAAAATTATTCAAAACTTGAAAAAATCTAAACTTTCATTGGCCAGTAATAATGAAACACTCTATAAAACGTAGGTAATTACATGAAGAAAAATAAAAAATAAAATGCAACCACAAATTGTACAAAAACATTGTTTTATTTAATGAAAAACTTTCTGTTGCTATCAGGGTTGCTATTCTTTTGCTATGCTACTGTGTGTGGTTGCCAGGGTGTTGCTACAGTTGATAGCAGTTGATATATTGTTGTAGGCAGTTGCCAGGGCAAGATTTGTTTAATGTATATTTCTTGAACAATTCATCTGTGTGTTTTTCAGAGTGACGACTGTTCCCAAACCTGCCCACCTCGACTATATGGTACTAACTGCACTTCCACCTGCCACTGCCACAACCAGGCATCCTGCTCACCAATCGATGGCTCCTGCATCTGTAAAGAAGGTACGGCATAATGTGCTCTCCTTCTTCTTTGTATCCTTACTCCCCCATTTATGAGAGACTGTGGGTTTACAACCCACAAGATTATAGCTTGACCTGTACAAATAAATCAATAAGCAATCAATGCATGCAATCATATGCTAAGGAAACCTCATAATCTTTACAATCAATTACTCTGCGAGTAATTAATCATTTTCTAATTCCCTTTAAAACAGATGTCAATGTTTAGAGAATTAACCCTGTCTATAAATTGAAATTTGGAATGCCTAACAAGACAATACTCCAAAAACACTTTCTGGACATCAGACACTCTCAAAAATAGTATATAATATCCCCATCCGTTCTCCATATATCCATTTCTGTCATTATGGAAAAATTGGTGTTTCAATATCAAAGGATGCAAAGTCTCTCCAGGTCACTTTCAAAGGATGCATAACCACTTAGTACTTACATGCACATATGGCTGTAAAAGCATAAAAAATGCAGCATGAATCCACAAGAGCCCTGTGAGTGCTCAGCGTTTGGCTGACCGCAGCTAACCGTACCTGCGGGACGGCCCTTATTGTTGCATAAACATGGACTCGTCCTTAAAGGCCTGCACTAGCAGAGTATTCGTTCAGGTCCCTTCAGTTTGGAAGGAAGCTCATTAGAGACAGTACCTTTAAAATTCTCATCCCATTCATAATGCAGAACCCCAGTGTGCTACACAACTTCTCTGCCTATCCCACTCTGCTCTTATGTTGACCTCAAACCATGCATATATTCAACTCATTGGCTGCTTTGCGGCGTGAGCCGAGGGAGACAAGAATCCTCTGGCTTCTGTCAAGATATGACCTCACTTCCCCCTCTTCCCACTCTATTAATTGAACACTGTTATAAACTAGAGAAGGTTTGGCTAGAACTCAAAAAGAGAATGTTAAACCCTCAGTTTTTAACAAATAAACAACTGAAGGAACCAGTGGTCGAGTAGACAAATAAATGAATGAATGTCTGTACCATCTCCTTTTGCTTTATAGGTTGGCAGGGTGTAGACTGCTCAATCCTGTGCTCCAGTGGGACTTGGGGATTGAGCTGTAACCAGACTTGTTTGTGTGCCAATGGTGCGGCTTGTGACCCAATCGACGGCTCCTGTACCTGTACCTCAGGCTGGAGAGGGGAACGCTGCCAGCAGCCCTGCCTCGTGAGTATCTTCCCGGGACTGGTTCCATTGTCTCTTTGCTAGAGGCTAGCAGGACTGGCCATTTGATTTATTAATATTTGTCATGACAGGGCAGTTTAATCTTAGCAAGATGGTTTGTGTGTGTGGTTATTTAGGATGGCACATACGGGCTGGAGTGTTGCGAGCGTTGTGACTGTAACCATGCTGATGGATGCGACCCTGTGAGTGGATTCTGTCGCTGTCTGCCAGGATGGACAGGTGAGTGTAAGACCAGTGACATAAACACATCAGTATCTTAAAAATGGGATTTTATGAAGCAACATACAGTGGGTACGGAAAGTATTCAGACCCCCTTAAATTTTTCACTCTTTGTTATATTGCAGCCATTTGCTAAAATCATTTAAGTTAATTTTTTTCCCTCATTAATGTACACACAGCACCCCATATTGACAGAAAAACACAGGAGTGAATTGCTCACCCATTGTTGAAAGAAGAATTGATGCAATTTAAACATGCAGTGCCAGATTTATGAAAAGTGACAGTAAAGATTTTCCACATTGAACATTCTATTCATAAAAGAATCAAAAATGTAAAAAAAAAATGTATCAAGGTTTCCAAAACAAATTTTGCTGCACATCTGTCTTTAACATTCATAATAATAAGACGTGGTTTTGAGCACCAAATCAGCATATTAGAATGATTTCTGAAGGATCATGTGACACTGAACACTGAAGCAATGACTGCTGAAAATTCAGCTTTGCCATCACAGGAATATATTACTGCGATGAGTGAGGCGGGACCGAGAGCCGTGGGAATCCCGCCTCCTTCCTCCCGGGTTTCGGCGCCAATGTAATAAAGTTCGTAGTTCGGGAAGAAGGAGGCGGGAACCAGCGAACATTTAAATAACATAACTTTAATAACAAAATAAACACAAAACTGAAAATAGCGTGACAGCCCCTCACGGACGACTGCCGCGCACAAACAAAACAACATAAAGTCCAGGCCTGGTCCTCTCTCGTCCTTCACTGTCGTCGCTCCTCCTTTTATCCTTCCGGAGCTCCTCCGTGGGACTCGAGACCGGTGAGTGGCGCAGGTTAGGGTTGGGCCGATAGACGATGCTATCGTCCATCGCCGATGGCTGACAGCCATCACGATGTTAAGCTGACATTGTGATTCCTCCCCCCCCACTACCCCCTCTCCCGCAATCCGCCGCATCCCAGTTCCGTGTTCGGAAAGAAAATGAAGTGTACTACAGAAACCCTAAAGGGAATAAATAGCCTATGAGATGGGAGGATAAAAAAAATATTTCAATACTTTTTCTCGCAGTTATATCGTTGGCTAAGTATAGGCGACTGTATATAAATTGTGGGCATAAGGGAGCCGCTATTGAAACCGCTTTTGATTGCGCGCTCTCATTTTACTTTCACAATCACAAGGACTCTATACTATGGAGCGGCAGTACTTACCACACATTTGACAAGATTAGATGTTTGTCATTGGTGCTCAGGATCTGCAAATCATTCGCCATCGTCCTATCAGACATCTCTCCTTACTCTGTGTATGTGGTGAACTTTCATGTACTGTAATGCAAGAGGCTACCGCTAGCAAGCGGCTAACCTTTTAGTGGCTCCGTATAACGCGTTATTTGTTTCACGCTTCGGGCACACCCCTAACCCTGCATCTCCCCCCCTGAAATGCTGATTTCAAACATTATAAATATTACCAATCCCAAACATTTGAACACTAGTTTATAGCTATAGATTAATTACCTCCATTTGAAGGTATATGTAATCTCTCTCCTCATGTAAATTAGATTTCATGAGGATGAAGTTTTCAAGATGATCAAGTATCGAAACTACCTTTCTTATCGAAAATTTTAGAGAAGGTTGTTCTGTCTTAGCTTGCTTCATATTTAGATATGAATGCTGTTATAGATATGTTCCAGTCAGGTTTTAGGTCCCTCCATAGTACAGAATCTGCCCTTCTTAAGGTTTTTAATGATATTTTATTGGCAGTTGATTCTGGAAAGGTAGTTATACTTGTTTTACTTGACCTCACAGCTGCTTTTGATACAGTTGATCATGGTATTTTATTGCAGCGTTTGGAAGATGTTGGTGTTAAGGGTACTGCCCTAGAGTGGTTTAAATCATATTTAAAAGATAGATCTTTTTCAGTTTGCCTTGGAGGACCTGGAGACTATTCATGCCTTTGTATCATCACGCATTGATTACTGTAAGTCTGTATATATAGGTATTTCACAGGGTCAATTATCTCGTCTTCAATTAGTACAAAATGCTGCTGCCAGACTTTTGACTTGCACAAAGAAGAGAGAGAGAATTACCCCAGTCTTGGTTTCTTTACACTGGTTGCCTGTAAAATTTAGAATTGAATTTAAGGTTTTGTTGATGGTTTTTAAAGTGTTGCATGGCATTACCCCAAAATATATTGTTGACCTTTTGATTCTTTATCAAAATACAAGAAACATGAGATCTTCGTATCAGATGATTCTTCATGTTCCTAAAACGAGATTAAAATCAAAGGGTGATAGGGCTTTTTCAGTGGCTGCTCCTCGATTATGGGACCCTCTTCCAATGCATATTAAATCTTCCCCATCTGTGGATGCTTTTAAGTCTAGATTGAAATTGTACCTTTTTAGTAGAGCTTTTAGAATTGATTAGAGGGATCATGTTTTATATTTTAATGTTTAATTTTGTTTGTGTGACTGTATGTAATAATGCTGGAAAGCACTTTGGTCAACGGCAGTTGTTTTAAATGTGCTATAGAAATAAAATTTGTATTGTATTGTATTGTAAGTACAAATTATTGGTAGCCCATTTCATATGTCATGGCCATTGTTATAGGAATACTCAGTGTGGTTAGCCAGAAATGACTTTATATTCTGTATAGTGCTGCAGTTCTGTTACGCTGCAGAAACACTGTCAGTGTGAAAGTACAATGAGACCCTGCTGTTACAGTTACGCTGCAGCGCTGCTTGCTCAAGCTGTGTGAAACAGACTTACTACTAGTAGTAATACTACTTCTAATCATTATAAGAGTCAGCTGGTGGAATTTTGAAGATTTTGAGGTCTCGCAAGATACCACAGTGTGTCTTCATGAGGCATAATATATAATATCCACCCAGAAGCATCTGCTCTGGTTTATTGTTAGAATGTAATGGATTTTTCAATCAAATATTGCAGTATTAATTTTTTAAGTAATCCAGAAATAATAAAACCAGTGTTTATTAATCTTTCAACTGCCTTCATCTTAAAGGAAAATTCATTATTTTTTTAATAATTATGAAATATTATTATGAAAACATATGAAATCCTATTTTATTTCAATAGCAAAGTAATAGCACATTTTTATTTCAGCTCCTGCCAATGTTGTATGTTAAATTAAACTGATTCTACATTTGTGTGTTTATATTGTTCAGTTTATTCTACACAGGACCACCATGCCTCCAAAAGATGTTATCATAGGACACATAGCCTGCAGGCAGATTAATATGAGATCCCTGAAAGCATGAAGCATTTATAATAACTGTTGCTGAACATGTTACCTAATTAGATTGCACTGACCCAGAATGAAACAATCGTTCTGCGGTTTGCATATATGGCTTTCACACTGCGCTTACACCTTCTGTTGCAGCGGTCTCAGCACTGTGTGTCCAAGAAAGAGATATGAGAGGCAGTGAACATGTTTGAATATCACAGAAGGGCTGTGTTTACAAGTTCTTCAGCATGTGAACATGTTATACAAGAAGCGAAATGGAGCAGGTTGAGATGGTAGATGTGGCTTTGCCTGCAGGCCCTCCATAACTCTCTCCGTTCAGGTCTTCTAATTCTGACCATGTGTACTGGGAAATGATGTAGCTTTCATTATCTGCAAGAAGGAGCCAGCTACGCAGAAATCTCACGCTCTGTATCCTGCCCAGGTCTCCACCATCTGCCAGGCCTAATGGAGTCACCAGGGTGCAAATAGGCCTCCGAGACTGTGAGCATCTGAACAAAGAGACTATGTGGAGCAGTGATTTATTGAAGCTATCGAGAGAGCTAGACATACATAGTGCATATGTGAGAAGATAGTGTCAGGTGTAAGACTTGAGAATGAGCTACACATGACATGGAGAGAGAGAGAGATTGCATAAGAATGTATGATAAGGAATCTCACGTGGCATATACGCAGAAGGCTTAATAGTACAGCAGCAAAAATAAATAAATAAATAAAATAATTCCCATTTAATTCTAAGTGCCAGAGTTAGTGTGGAAAATGGTTGTGAAAAAAATAAATGATCACAAATAAAATATATGACTCCTTTAATTATGAACTCAGTAAGGTAAGAAGGTAAATGGACTGTCTTTGAAGAGCAGTAGTTGGAAGATTTTTGTGATAAAAATGAAAAGTATTACTAAAGAACACAGGAGTACAACATACAAACAGATATTCCCAAGGACATACAAGCTGAGAGTGTGTTTTATCAAAAGAGAGAAAGAGAGGGATGTGTGAGATGGGAATTAAATGATCACTTTCAATAAAACTGCGTACGCGTCTAATGGAGGGAGGAAGAGAAAGAGACAAAATAACCGGGAGAGAGATAGAGTGAGAAAGCAAAGAAATGGACGTGCGATATTAGGTGCTCCATGGGCTCTAGACTGAAGGATCGTGGGTATAACAGAGAGTGTCCTGCAGAGACCTTTGCATTACGTGTGCAGGCATGTGCGCCCGTGTGTCCACTCAACATGTAAAGTGCGGTGGAAAGTGATGGTGTATGATGGTACTTGCTCTTCACTCATTAGTTGGCTGCCGGTCCTCCTGGCAGTTCTCTTCTAGAAAAGGCTCATATGCAAACAGTCACTTCTCCTCTTTCTTCACCCTCGCTCTGCTCAAAAGCCCCTCTGTTTGTCACCATTAGGCTTTCAGGGCACTCTTCTATTCTCATTTATTGCTGACAGTAAAGGAAGTGCAGGACTTTTTTTCTGCCCAGCCCAGCAGAAGCTCAAACAGGCTCACCTCTCCTTTGATGTGCGGTGGCTGGGCTTGTCTTATATGCACATCCCCGTTGCCTCCCCATCCGACCACCTCTTTGTTCTGCCACAGAGGTGAAGCAGGTATGATGCCGGTCCCTGAAGTTTAGACCCGGTCTAATTCAAAGCCCTGGGACTAATGCCATTTTAATGGATCGTGCCACTCGCTCAGAAAATCTCTGTCAAAGGAAATAGTAAATGAGGTTTCCTGAGCTGCAGCTTGAAAGGATG